GGCAGCCACTATAAAACTTATATGGACTACTGCTAGCAAGGAGGACTTAATATGGGTGAAGAGATCTATGAATATTATCTCAAGGAACAAATTTTCACTGTAGACCAAAACAATTTTTTATTACCAAAATCGACCGATTTTTTTTTAATTACCAAAATCGATCCGTTTTATGCCACGTAGGCGTAATCCAGTTTCCTAATTAGTCGGGGTTGCCAACCCCGACTGTTTCAACCCCGACTGTTTAGGAGTTGTTAAACCGGGTTTTAAGGCTTCTAATCGGGGTTTAACAACTCCTAAACAGTCGGGGTTGGCAACCCCGACTAATTAGGAAACTGGATTAAGCCTACGTGGCATAAAACGGATCGATTTTGGTAATTAAAAAAAATCGGTCGATTTTGATAATTAAAATTCCGTTTGGGTCTACAGTGAAAATTTGTTCCATTATCTCAAGAGGCAGAACATATGGAATGTCCAAGCCTGAAAAAAATAATTCATAGGGGCGGGAGCAGATCTTACAACATGTTATTGCATGGATTTTTTTTTTTGGGTGGTGGTGGTGGGGTGGGGGTGGGTTCTGTAGAAGGCAAACTGTTGAGCTGTCGGGGGCACGAAGATTAGTTTAGTATATAATGACTTGTTAGATCATTCTACAAGAGTTAGCCGGCATCCCCCCCCCTTTTTTTTTGGGGGGGGGCCTAAATTTCCCCAAAGCATTCATATAGTGCATTGTTGACATCTCTGCGCCGACTCTAACTTAGAACAGAATACATGAAGAGGAAGGGAGAGAGGAGGGCTTACTTATGATGGATTTGAAGACAAAACAAACTAGCATGGTTTTTCTAAATCAAGTACCACGTCACTCTGAGTCTGGCATCTATTCTGGTGTAAGTCAATATTATACCCAATAAAAAAGTGGATTGGAGCAATAGTCAACGAGGATAGGATCCAAATCCTAAGCATGTGAGACCAATGGAGAAAGCTTTAGTGACAAAAAAAGGGCTGTAAAAAGGTCGAAGGTAGTGGATATTTGGGTTCTATTGATTAAGAAATAATCAAAAGGTTCCTTGGGGTTTGTTAGGTCCAGAAGATTGAAACCAGTGGAAGAGGATGCGAGTATTTTTCTCTTTCTTGTTTTTTCTTTAGTGGATGACGATGCCAGCCAATGGAATTGAATGCATTGTAGCTTCATGTGGGGTACTAGGGAATAAAGATTTAAAGCTTGGGGTTTTTTTATTTGATGAAATGGGGGCGGTGCAAAAAATGTAGGTTTTTTTATTTGGAGAAGTCTGGTGAATGGCTACAATCGATCAATAGGAACTAAAATAAAAGAATATCTAAATAAAAATAAAAGACAAATGAGAAATGAGGTTAAACAAGATTCACTGATGACATCTAACCTCTAAAACGATGGCTTCATGCCATGGAAAATCACATGCATACAACAAATCTCATGTTTTTCTAAATTTTTTCATAAATTCTTCATAAAACTAACTACAATGAAAGATATAATCCATATTTATAGGATTCAAAATCCAATCTCTAATAAAATTCAAAATATAAATAAGCTTCTAATCCTACTACAATTCATACTCAAAAGTAACTCTATCCTAGAATTAAAATTAAAATCACATGCTAATTTAAACCTAACTAAGCTAACCTACTAACAATTTTATCGATTCAAAATAATCTTTCCAGTGGATCCAAACTCTTCAACCAAATCTTGATTTGATCCTTCAAATTCCTGCATCAATTGGACTCCTGGCTATTGTTCAAAAGGTATAAGTAGAACTATGTGGTTGATTACTCCATGCAAGATTATCAGTAGGGAATAACCTACCATATGGTTTTAGCCACATGAGAATATTCACCTTACAGAGTTGATGGGCAGAATGGATGGTGTGAAACTGTGATTGAAGGAGTGCTAAAGAGATATCAAGTGTTTTCGCTTGTGAGGGATAAGGTTTCTTAGGTTGTATACAATCCACATTCTATGAAAGATAGATGCAATATCATTATCTGATCCACCCAAAATCTAGTAGGGTCACCAGCTCCTGCGTTCACTTTGGCGCCGAAAAGGAAAGTCGTGCTAGCTTTGAGAACACTAGAGATATTCACGATTGTATGAACTGGATATCTTTGGTGACTCAGGAATATATCCCAATTGTCGCATTAGGAATTTCTTTCCATTAACAATATGTAGCTAAACAGTGAACTACAAAGTGTCATCAAATTTGACAAGAACCTTTCCAATACGGAACACTTAATAATAACCACACTCAGATGGGAAAAATGGCTTAAATGCTACCAATGATGGTAGCGATCATATTTTGTTCATTTCTAGTCAACTCACATCTCATTCAAATTTCAAATAAGATAAGAAAATGGACTTCCTAGTTTCACCTTTTCTCCTAGAAAGACTTCACGAAAATAAATAGTTAACTAATATCCTTGGTGGTGACAGAATATGCTAACAGAACAACCTAGACATGAGCCAGTGTTTCAGACATAGTGTCAGTGATAATAATCATAACATAATACGGATAACTCAAAGTAAGGAGTGTGAGTAAGTAATAAGGTTTAAGTCTTTCAGAAATGGAGTAAAAGAACCACCAGAGCTGACTACAGAAGGCTAGTTGTGTATCTCAATTTAGTCCAATAACCGATATGTGGAACTGTGGACTAGAAAATGAAAAGGAAGTATAATTATTAGGCTTCAATTATTCCTGCAAGCTTTTTCATAAGCAGATACCAAGAGATTAAGAAAATGAAAAAGATTGCAAATCGTGCGCATGACGGATGATTCTTTTTCCTCTTTTTCTTTTTGAAGTAATACATGCTAGATGAATCAAAGGAACCATCTTGCAGCCAACTGCACATTAAACTGTAATGATTATAGTCTAGCCTCTTATTTTCCTTAACTAGTCTGTATATCCATGGTTAGTAGATAATTTAACTAAAAAACCAATCTACAAATTTCTAGAATCCGCTTGCTCTATTGTCAGGTGGTGATCACAGTTTCTTTATGTCAATTCAATAGAACCCCTAAGAGAGATAAGTTGACACTTGTTGCCTAATACTTACAGCAAGTAAAAGGAAATTGCAGTCCTATAATCATTCCCTCAACATTCGTTACATTTTAAATACTAAGAATATTGCATGAAATATCACACTTCCCATGATGCAAGCAACTAGTAGTTCATTTAATACTGGTGCACACTTCAAGTTTAAGAACTACTGAAAAAAAAGTTTAGATTCCCATTTATATATATTATATAAAAACTACATTGGATCAAGAAAATTCCGTCCCTATGCTAAAATTTGCCATATTGCTCCGGCTTTGCCCCTGGAGGAGAATCTGACCATTGATTTTATTCTGTGGTTGTACTAAGGTCTGACAGTGTTTTTTTATAAGTTGAGGCAAAGTTTAGCTCAGATCATTGACTTCGTTGCACACATATTTCATTCAATAATTTTGACCAAAATGATCGAACATGTATTGCTTCTCTCCCCTTGTTGTTTACAAGTAATTTATTTTGTCCTACTTGGATATCACGCATTGCATGTGCTATCAAGATATTTTTTGACCTAATGATCCTCCATTAACTTGTTCTTCCTTTTATTATCCTTCATAAAAATTATCTGCATTGTCTTACTTAGTTAGCATCATGCATGTAATAGTAAGGCAAAATTGATATGTATTATTGTAGAATATTTTCTCAATATTACCTCTTGGAGGTGTTGGTCAGGATAAAAATTTTACATGGAAGTTAGGGGAAAGGGTTACTGCCCTTCATAAAGGAGATGTTGGTCCTTATGTTACTTTTTACCCTCGTTCAGATGCTTTATAGAGATTCACTATTTACTTGGTTGAAAAGGATGAAGAGGGGTACAATGTGGTCAAAAGAAATTTGTTTGAAATATTACTTTGGTTGGACAGTGAATATTGTCATTCATACAGAGCATTGTCCTGCACTATTGAACATCATCCTTCAAATGTATCATACACTTTTCCTTACAATGCCCTTTCATTTGACCACTAGTGCAATGTCAAAGATGAAAGGTATCATGAAACCACCAACCATACATAATTCAACCAACAGGAGATAACAAAAATGAAAAATGATATTTACAATAACAAAATGTGTGAAAGTCTCGTACTATCAAGATATTGCTAAACCATGCCAGGAGACTGAGGACTTAAATGCATCAATGAAACTGAACAGATATGCAAACAACAAACATGGTGATAGGATAGATGTATAAAATTAGTAAATACATTAAATTTGATAAAAGGCAAGAAGTCTTCTGGGCTGTAGATTTCTCATAAATCATGGAGGGACCATTCACTCCGTTATGTGCCAATGACAAAAAAGAATAACAGAAACCTAAAATGTAGTTAGCCTATAAGGACTTTAAATAAGTTGGTACAATCAATTTAGAAACAATAATAATTGTTAAGATTTTATTAAAGATCCAAGCGAAAAGGGTTCCTTTAGAATAAAACGTCCCCTTAAACCTTACCTCTCTTATTGCGGTCACCTCAGCGTGTGCAGTTGGATCTGCATGCTTCAAAACCATGTTATGACAGCTCACAACCACTTCACCATTACGAACCACAACTGCACCAAATGGGCCTCCATCCCCACAATCAACTCCGTGATATGCTTCTTCCACCGCTTTCAATAAGAATTTGTGATCTCTATCTTGAACAGCTGGCAAATCCATAACCAAATCAAGTACCCACTTCTATTTCAGTCATTCTAACTAATATTTGCATGAAAGGAAAAAAATATATGGCAACAGTGGCAGAGTCTAGAATTTAGTCAATTGACCAAGCCACGGACAAGAAAGTTTTCTGTTTGCAAGCAGGAGGACTGAGAAGAAGGCGGAAGTTCAACTTTTTATCTATCTTGTTGGGAGGGCGGATGGATTTCTAGACTAGGATCTGACATTTTACCCCCCAATGAATAATGATTGTTATGGTTTTATTATAAGCTCCCCATGATTTTTATCTTTTCAGGGGGTTCCAAGGCAACTTTGGTCTCTGCCTAGCTGCACCACGGTATAGCAATATAAAGGAGAGATTATGTGTCCCAGTCAAAGACCAACTTCAGACAGAAATGCAAAGAGGAAAATGGTTCTAGCATTACCTTCCTGGTGACCAGCGAATGCAGAAGCTACCGAAATGGTTCCATCCTTGGATTCCACAACTGTATATTGTTTGGAAAAAAAAGCAAAGAACAAAAATTAATCACGTAGTCACAAGATGGAAAAGTAAAACCCACTACTTCACCTAATTATCGCTCAAGTGAAATCCTAGCACATAAGCATTAATGCGAAGAACATGCAAGATGAGATCCACGATCTTCAGTAAATAATGGTAATTTTTTTAGAGTTTTGCTACAGGGACCTAAAATATGGGAAACAAGGGACATGTGAGGTGTCTCCCTCCTATTGCATAATTAGCTGACCATCATTTAGGGGCTGTTTGGATGCCTTTAGGAAACTAGAGTATTTATGGCACAAAATAGAAAGTGGTTATCCACCTCACCACTTTCCATTCGAGTGTTTACATTGTTTGGTTAGGAATCAAATAGAAAGTGGTTATCCACCTCACCACTTTCCATTCGAGTGTTTACATTGTTTGGTTAGGAATCTTTGTGAATCCTAAAATCACCTCACCACTTTCCATTCGAGTGTTTACATTGTTTGGTTAGGAATCTTTGTGAATCCTAAAATAATAATATTATATTATTTGGATAGTATAATGTAAACTAAAGTATTTATGACACAAAATGGAAAGTGGTCATCCACCTCACCACTTTCTACAAGGTTTTGACTTTTATATTATTATTTTTGGACACATTTATGACATTGTGTCAGCTTTCCAACAAAATCACTCCTAATTTGGTGATTTTGCTTTCGGTGACACCTCATCAAAAAGTGTAAGCTTTTCATATAAAAGAGAATTTAAACAAACAATGTAAAGTGATGAAAGCTGACATTGGGACCCACTTTTTTTATATTTTTCATCCTTTTACATGGTAAAAACATACAACCAAATGGTCCCTTAATGATGGCCAGCTCATTATGCAATAAGAGGGGGACACCTCACCTGTCTCACTGTTGGTCCCAAAATAAGAGGGTCAGCTCATTATGCAATAAGAGGGGAACACCTCACATATCCCCTGTTGAACCCATATTTTGGGTCTTGGGGAATTTTTCATTTTTTTATCTCATTTAAGCAAAACTAGAATCTCATAAATCATAATGGCAATTCAATACTCATAAATGAGTATAAAAATATAATCAATTAAACAATAATTGGAAGGGTATACAGAACGTTGACCACTTAATAAAATTTCACAGTCAATAATACCAAATACCCAATTCTTCAAGAGCATCAGATCTAAAAAAACTAATAATACATCAGATGCATTTCAATGATTTGCTCTCTAATTTCACATACTTCACCATTACTAACCGCATACTAACACATCCATTGTAACCCCATAAACCGAAATTGGATAGATCTGAAGGAAGCAGATCCATGAAAGAGAAGAGACCAAAACCCAATTCACAAGACTTTTTTTTTGAGTGAATTATCCGTTGAAATAGCGAGAATATACCTTGGCTTTCTTCAATGGGGAATCCTGACGTGGGTTCCGCTGCCATTTCTCGAATCAGGACACGATTCCAAAGCGCTAAATTGAAGGAATTTACCTCTTGGGTATATATAGATTCGTGGAGATAGAGTCCGCGATTGTGGGACTAGATATACAGGTGTTTTTTAGATATTAGTCCCTTACATCCTTACTAACTCCTTATTAACCGCTCAAGTCATAGGAACTGCTCACAGCCATAGGTGCACTTGCGGCTTGGGTTTGCAAAATGGGTCCCGTTATTTGGCGGTAATCAAATGCCCAAGTATTGAACCCCACCCCCCCCCCCCCAAACGCCCAGGATTAAGATAAGCGAGAGATCGCCGGTTGACAAAAGACTATTCACTCATCCACGCCACCCCACCCCAACAAAAAAAAGAGAAAAAAAACGCTTCTCACATAAATGCTGGAGATATCAAAACAGAAAACATAGGTGGACCAGAGTACCCCACCGAATGTAATGATCAACACACCTAGCTGGATTAAAAACATAATTTATTTTACGCTTAGATCGGTTGCGACACACTACACCGTTTGTTTGGTATTTTGGCCTCAGGAAGGGGTGGAAAGCTGCCATATGGCAGCTTTTCTCTTGCCAAAACGCCTATTAAAGATGGCGTTTTGGGGAGAAACTGCCTAATGGCAGCTTTCCACCCTCCTCGAGGCAAAAAACTAAACAACAAACAGCCCCTGTTTAATTTTGGCGCCCAGAAATGAAGAATGAGAATGTTTAGTATGCATAAATGAGAAGTGAGAATGAACATTCCATTTTCACGCATTCCCAATAACCAAATGAGGCTGAGGCGTGAGTTCACAGGAACATAACCTGAGTGGCGTTTTGATTATTAAGAGACTAATTTGCATGATTCTTCATGATTTGATGGATTTATGAGTATTTTCAAAGATTTGAGAAAATAATATTGAATTATTGAAAAGGTGAGGGGCTAATATCTAAAAATATATATATGATATTATTCAGTATGTAAAGGCTTGCCCAAAAGAGTAAATAGCAAGTTTAGGGTATGTGTGGATATCATGGTGATTTTTGTGTGGTGTTTTCAAAACACCATGATGTTTTTCCAAATGTGTTTTTAAAACACCATGGTAAGTGTTTTTTGTCAACAATAGTTTGAACTATTATAACATTAATATTAAACATATTATTCATATATTAAATATTACTTATAATATAATCTATTTTAATTAATATATTATAATATTACACACACAAACATATTATAATACTATATATAAAATCAATTATAATATTAGAATTGTGTAATATAGTATATATATATATTACTTTTAATAGCAATATATTTAATTATTTTATATAAATAGATTTTATTGTATTAATATATTAACTTTTAAAAATAATGTATTAACATTTTCTTCTTATAATATTATATAATATTATTTTATTATGATAATTATTATTTTATTTAATGTTTATTACTGTATATGTAATATCAATAATTATTTTACTTTATAATATTATGATTATTTTGTCATTAATTTTATAATGTCATTTAATTATTATTATTATATTATGACTATGTTCAATATATTAATATTCAACTTTTATTCTTAGAGGATGTAATTTATCATTAATAAGTTATTTACTTTAAATATATAATTATTTTGTCATATTTTATAATGTCATATATTATTATTTATTTATATTATGACTATGTTCAATATATTAATATTCAATCTTTTATTCTTAGAGAGTTATTATTTTATTATTAATATTATTATACATAATGTTAAAATTTATATTATGCAAAAATTAATGATATATTTTTTAATTAATAATAAATAGAATAATTTTTTTATAATTAAATATTTTATCACTACCATCGGGTTATTTATTAATACTAAATTGATTATCTATTTTTTATTAATATTTTGTATTATTTATATTAATTTGAATTAATATAATAGTATTTTAGCTATAACTTTTGTATTATATTAGTTATAATATTTATGTATTATTAATTAATGGTATGAAAGATAGTATTGATATATTAGGAAACTAATATTGCAATGTAATATATTAAACATAGTTTTATATTATATTATATTATTGTTATGTAACACATATAATATGTTTTTTCTTTATTATTATATTTTTATTAATATATTTTATTTGTTAATATTTATAATAATAGTATTTAAAGTATAATTATTATAATATACTAATTATAATATTATATGTATTATTAATTAATGATATTAAACATAGCACTGATATATTTGGAAACTAAATATTATTGTCATGTAACACATATAATATATTTTTACTTTATTATTATATTTTATTAATATATTTAGTTTATTAATATTTATAATAATAGTATTTAAAATATATCAGTTTATTATATTTGGAAACTAAATATATGTATTATTAATTAATGGTATTAAACATAGCACTAATATATTTGGAAACTAAATATTATTGTCATGTAACACATATAATATATTTAGTTTATTATTATAATAATAGTATTTAAAATATAATTATTATATTATATTAATTATAATATTATATGTATTATTAATTAATGGTATTAAACATAGCATTGATATATTTGGAAACTAATGTCATAACGTAATATATTAAATAATATTATTTATTACTATATTATATTACATTATATTATAGTGTGTAGCAAATATATTATTATTGCACTATATTAGACATTATATTAACACCCTTGAAACTGAAAACACAAGCACCAAACTTGGAACATTTTTTTGGTGTTTTGAAATAAGTGCTGTGATTTTGATTTTTTATATTGTAGCCTAACAAAAACACTATTCTTTTTAAATATATATTATTTTGTTTTTTAGTAAAACGCCTTGGAAATACAAGAAATACCACGATATCCAAATGCTACCTTAGAGAACCATATCTTTCTATTCTCAACTCGACATCGCTAAAATTGAAATCTTGTTGTACCCATTTGTGGGAGTCATATAGGAACCTCTTAATCGTTCGAATCACCTAAGGCATGTAAGAATTAAGGAGAGTCATTTTTGAAAAACTAAAAATGGAAAGCCACATATTTGATAGAGTGATGAAAGATGTTGAGGAGAGAAAATTATATATGGGTTTTAAGATGACCATGAAAGCTCTACGCAAGCGAAGATTAAGACATCAATGTAGGCATAAAAAATTACCTATAGGTCCCAAACTCAGCTCAAGACAAAGAGAAGACGAAGTATGTCATAATCTAAGTCAGAGAAGATCATCCAATATAAAAGGAAGTAAAGGAGAACATAAAACAAGCTGAAACTTGGGAGGCTATCACACAGTTGGCGAGACAACCTCTACTGTCTCGGATATGCGAGACAGTTTACGTTCTCCTTTACTTCCTTTTACATTGGATGATCTTATTTGACTTAGATTATGACATTCTTCGTCTTCTCTCTATCTTGAGCTGAGTTTGGGATCTATAGGTAGTTATTGATGCCTACAATCATATATATTATTTATAACATCATACTAATAAATTTAACCAATTATATTATGAAGTAATTCATTATCAAAAGTCATTTTTCAAATGGCTCTAGTATTTTTTAGATAATATATGTTGTTGATGTAATTTATATTTTTTTAGTAAATTAACTTTATTTTATTTTATTATTATTAGCCTTTTCAACAATCAATACTAAAATAATACAAAATGATGATATTTTCTAGGTCAAATGAATGCAAATTCTAGTTGAATTTATTCGAATATAATAATTATCAGAAAAATTTCATACTTTTAATAGGGCTAGAATTAGGATTTTTAAAAAATTCAAGGAGTTAACCTCTATAACCCTTCTTTATTTACCAAACACAAAAAATTTAACCATTTCTATTAACTATCTAATCCAAATAGAATTAAATTATTTTTAACCCCTCATAATGGGTTAACTATTTTAACACTTCCTTAACTCTCATCTCTTATCCCTTTGTCAAATAGCACCTAGGTTGTAAATTGAGTTTGTTGATGTTAGTTATCAAACAGTGGGTTATCTGAGAGTTTGTAGAGTGATTAGGATCCTCTAACTCCTCCTGATGAATGGTTCTGGGGCTTGTTGTTCTTCCCTGCACATGAAAGAACTCATAAGAGGGCAGAGTTGGATTCTCCAGTTGTCCTCCGACAATTAAGTCAGTAGATGATCTTGAGTGGGGAAATACAGAGTTAGCTCTTAGTTATGTTCAAAAGATTAGAGAGTGTTACCTCATGCAGTGTTGCTCCTTTTATAGTGGATCTAAAGGGCAAGAAGGTAACTTGGGCTGAGTCCAGCTAGGCAGCTGAGCCGTCAGACAGCTGACAGGTGTCACCCGTTGGCGAAGATGGGCCCTCTAGGTGGTTAGTGCCAAGCAACAGCAGCTGCATGGTACTGACGGAGCCTGATAGGTCATAAAGACTTTGTGGAGTAAAGCAATAATGACGTTGTCAGAGTAATTAATGATAAGGCAGGCGCCTGTTAGCGCATGGTTCGAGAAAAGTATCACCTCTTTAGTCGTCTAGTAGATGGCTGACTACGCAAGTTGTCGGCTAATACAATGGGCCAAGTGGGGGTTATTCGCAGAGATGACTGGTTGGGTTGGATGACAAATACCGCCTTTCGACTTGGTTACACGAGATGCCGGCCAAACAGCGGGCCAAATCGGGTTGCTTGTGGAATCAATTGAAGGGTTGGTCGAGTAGTGCTGCTTTTTGACTCGGTTACACGAGATGTCGGCTAATCTAGTCAACCATGTTTAGGCGGAGATTATCTTGGTTTTGAATTAGTCGGATTAGGTATAGTGTATGACATGTGTCGACTTCTGTGTGAAGATTAATATTTAATATTTTTAGGGGTATAATAAAGTTAACCCCTCATAATTTGTCAAATAAGAAATACCAAAAGGGTTAATATCCCTCTAAAGAGGGGGTTAAAATGAGTTAACCTCTCAAAACGAGGGGTTTACAAATCCATCTATTTAGACTAGTTAAGAGATAACATCTTTGTGTATAAATAAAATAGTCATAATATATTTATTCCTGAACACAAACAATAATCACAATGCTTAAAATAAACTAATCGAACAGATTAAAAAATTCAACCCTTCAAAATAAATATTAATCATTCTCTTTAA